TTGATTTGGTGTATTTATGGTCATTAAGAGAAATTCTGATCTAACTCATTAACAAAACTCCCTTTTAATTTGGTGGAATGAACCTTTCCCTGATGCCAGCTTGGAGAGGGTCATGTCTGTCCCTGTGGGTTGTACCCTGATAATTGCAGCCCCACAAATATTGACTTTTGTTAGTGGGGATGTTGCCTGCCTGCTTTTCCTGTCCCCRAAATGTGCTGAGCTGCTCAGTTCACAGAACTGCCTTGTGAATTACTTTTGGATTGCAGCACGTTTCCTACAATGCCCAAGGTTATTTTTTATTCTTTCTACTGCTACGCTCAGAGAAACAAAGCAAATAAAAAGAAAAATATTATCACCACTCAAGATGTTTCATAATAACACTCCCAAATCTCTGGTGGAAGGTATAAATTAACCCCTCTCTGCATTTACTTTTAATATTCTGAAGCAATAACGTGTGATTCTCCTCTGTGATGAGCGGGAGCAGGAAACAAGAGCAGAATCTTGCAAGTGTTCCTGCACACACGGGACAAGGGAAATGTAGATCTGAGGGCTGGAAATGAGCAATAACCCTTTAGTCACGGGGAGAGTTTAAAAATGGAAATGCCTTTAAGTGGCCTTCAGAATTAAAAGCGTCCCATGGCACTTCTGAAGGAGCTGGAATAATAATGTACATTATTATGGGCTGTCTGTAGCTTCTGCCGAGTGCGGTTCAAAGTTACCTTTCAATCACGGGGCTGATTTTGCTCTCARCACCCAAATTCCTGCAAAAGAAGCTAATCTTCCTGAAATTCATCTGCCACGTTTCACCTCTGCTTAAAGCTTCRTAGGGGTGTTTGATTGAAGTAGGAAAGAAGCCCAAAAAATGTTTAACTTCTCCCTTTTTCTGCYGCTTTTCCATTTTTAACTTGATCTGTGAGCTGCAGACATGTGATACTCAGCTGGTTTTGTGGACAAGGGTGGTGATTCTACATCCTCGGTGGTGAGGCAGGTGTCAGTCTAGAGTAGGGAGGGTTTTATGTAGAAAAATGTACAGAAAAATGGCCTGGGCCCCTTTTTGTGGTGGAATTATGGAGACAGTGGGAGATGGAATTAAAACAGCCTGAGAGAGGAAGGGGAAAGGAAGAGTCAGCCCAACATATTCCTGGGTAACAAGGAGGGAAAGGAAGGAAGAATAGGAAGGGTGTTGCACAAAAGGAAGTGGCAGAGTGTTCTGGGTTATCCAGAAGCTTTTCAAGGTGAGCAGCTAACGGRAAAACATGCAGCACACTGACAAATAAAAAAAAAAACAACAGACCCAGGGGGTGCTGCTGGTTCTCCTCAAAGCCCCACGCACTGATTTTTGCTGTAGAGTTTGCTGAGATGCCTTTAGTGCTGTCACTTGCTGGCTTAATAAAAAGCTCTCTGGTTTAAAGAGGTGCTTTCTTTAGGAGAAATGACTCTCTGGCTGTTGTTTGTAGAGGCAATAATATTTAGGGCTCTATTTATTAGCTTATCTTGGCTGTTAAACGTTTATGGTTGTTGTTTATGGCCGGTGGAGCAGGGAGGAGAGGAGCCAGCTCTCAGACAGACACTGGGAGACCTTGTGGATGCTGAAGAGGTGATAAATAGATAATAGAACAGTTTGTAAAAGCTTTAAACATGTCTGGTTTTTCCTGGGCGGTGAATGAAGGGCAGCAGTCACAGARCCCACTGACATCTGGATATGGAAAATTCCCCTAAAAACTTCAGGTCCCATGGAGTTCACTAACTTTGCCTATAAGAAATCTGTGKTTTTTTTKGTTTTTTMTTTTCTGCTGAAAGCATTTCAGTTTTGRCATCTCTGTGTAACAAATGGGGGGKTTTTAATTCTAAATTTCCATGGGTTTGGAAAGCAAAGCAAGGGATTTGCTCTKTTCACCCCATTTGCTCAGCCATTCCTGCTCCGTGTTTGGTTCTGATAGCAGATGCTGGGAGCCTTGGAAAATATCTTAGCACAGCACAGCTTCCACCCAATTCCCTTTGAAAAAAACCCAAACAGGCAYCTTAAAGCAGGCTGGTTTTAATGCTGCTTGAGTTGTCTTTCTCTCTGGTGTGGCAAAACCAGAAATGCCTGGAAAATTGATGGGAAGGTGTTTAGAAGTAATGTGGCACAGCACTGGTGAAGTAAACAATGAGGGACAGATATTTTAAAAACTTCTTCTATGAGAAAAAAAGTTATTTTAAAGCACAATTAAGCTAAGCAAATAATGAGAGGTAGAATTTTTAARGAGGCTGAAAATGACTGAAATTATGAACTCCTTGAAATGCCACAGATTTTTTTTTTTTCTACTTACATAACCCAATGAGGCAAATGTTAAAAAAACATCCTTGAAAGCACCTCAAAGCAGTGCATAAAGTTGTAAAGAGTTGGGAAGGTTTAGGAAGAGAAAAATTGACATCATGCTGTCCAGAATGGTTTTAAACAGAAAATAAATCTTTACGAGTTTCAAGTTGACTTTGTTTCTGCTGCTGAGGCAGTGGAATGCTGCACACCTGCAGAAAACCTAAATATTTTTACACAATGCTGATCAGAAGCAGAGAATTTTCTAACACATTTACATRGCTGGGTAGTGTTATATTCCTGTTAAGGACATGGTGTTCTTCATGTCTGATGCTCTTTGGTATTAAATTCCTGGCTTTGAAGACATGAGTAGCAATGTGCTTTTTTGAGTAATAATGTGTTTTCTTGGCTTAGGATCTAACTACACTTAATAAAGACATATATGCTGTCACAAGAATCTTAGTCTTGGAAAAAGCTGCATTTTGCTATCAAAATTAAATTGGGTGCAAAAACAGTTTTGTAAAACTTTTTTTTACATTTGGGTTGATTGAAGTTTTGGCAGTCATTTTTTCCTCTTTGCTTCTTTCTAGTGAGTGTGGTGAGTTTGCTGCTCTCTTTTCAGTGGTGCTGTGGAAGTGCTGATGCTACAGTTTTTGGGAGGTCTGTCCTAATTAAGATTTAGTGACTAACTGGGGTTTTGATGTTTGTCAAACCACACAGTCAATAACATCAAAGATGATTATAACTTAACCCTGATWGAATATCCAGCTTGGGTCTGGCAAGGGAGATAAGAAACTTCAAGTGAAATTTTTCTCACTTGTATGAAATAGTAAAGGAAAAGTCCAAGAAGACAATATTTCATTTTCTGCCCCAAATTGTATTTRTATATCTTATTTGTACATAGATCTGAAGTTCCTTGCTATTGCTCTGAGCCTGCAAAGGAAGGAAACCCTTCAGAGGGGAGCTGCACTGATACCTTTTGAAAGAGTTGCACTATTTGGATTTATTTCAAGCCCAGGCTGTTTGCTCAGCCTTCCCCACTAACTTTAATGAGCTTTGCTTTGAAGTGTTTATGCAAAAAGTAGCCCAAACTGCAGGCTTGAGCAGCYTGCTGCCTTAGCTGGATTCTGGAAAGGTCTGCCTGGGATTCTTGTAAACCTCATTAAAACTCAAAGGGAAGTTGGTTTGATTTCTGTCTGTCTTGGTGGAATTTATCCCTCCTCTGCCTACTACTAAATCATCTCTGCCAGACATGACTCATCTTTAGGATTCATAAATTAGAAAGTGAAAATATCTCTCTGAGCCMGAGTATTCAGTAGAAGCCATTAAAAAAAATTCCATCAGAAGATCCCCTTGACAATCTCTCTGCAAACTTTATTCCAATGCAGTGTCCTGTGGGCATTTTCTAATTTAACCATCTGTGTGGTATTGCTTCATGGCAGTGCAAACATTTTTGATATTTGAGCTTAATACTTATTTGTGATACATTTGCTAACCACAACCCGAGTAAGGGACAGAGTTGCTGTAAACCTCTTGAAAAACTGTTTAATCAAAAGTTGATTATTGATTTTTTTTTAAATCCCACCACTCTGGCACTCTCCAGTTATTGGGACAGATTGGCTGAGGGATTTGGGCTGTTCCAAACATTGGAACTCTCATTCCAAGAGTGAGAGCACACTCTGCCCCAGGCTGAGGAGATCTGCATGAGTGAGAAATGCACAGGCACCATCAAAGTAAGATAAAGCTCAGGGTAAATTCCAAGTTACCCTTAAGGAAATGATGGGAAGAAAAGCCAGTCTGAGAGAACTGCAGGTGGTGGGGGGACAGGATAAAGAAGAGGGATATATTTAATTCTCAAATGAAGTGTTGCATGTATAGTATAGAAAAATTCCTGATGGAAATATCCCATTTCTTTAAGCCCACTGAATCCAACTCAGCCACCATTTTCACTCACAAGCACCTAATTATATAATAGTAAAAATCTATGTAGGTGTCTAAATAAAAGTGACCTGGATTTGAGAGTCAGCTCCACCTGAAGTTTCTTTAGCTCTGCAGAGGAGCCAATGARTACTGCAATTTAAACCCCCTGAAAATGAGGTCACCTGGCAAGACAGGAGACATTTATCTTGTGATTAGTGCAGCTTGTTTGGATGGCATGGGAAGGAGGGAGGGCAATGGTAATAAAAATAATTGATATGTGAAGTTTTTGGGTTCCTGCCCTTCCTCCTTGCTCCTCTAGGCTGCTGTTCTAAATGGCACCAGACAGGTCTTGAGCAGCTCCAAAGCTTTTTTGCAGGAGCCAGTGGTGAAGGAATGATATCAGGACTGAGCCCTGGGGTTTCCACGGGCCATATTGGAGTGCCTGGGAGCCAAGTTGTGGAGCAAGGGAGAAAAGGAACAAGATCAGTCTTTTCTATCCTCACAGATTAGTTTCAGCCTCGGACAAGTCTCTCAGGGGGACCTGGCTTCAGGCTGGCAAACACTATGGAGCTGAAATGAATGCATTTTCCAGGACCTTGTTGCACATACAGTTGTAGTTAGAAATTGGCAGAAGACAGTTTTCTCCTTTRTTCTTAAATTGCTTGCTACCTCTGAGCAAGCAGTCTTGATTTTTATTTCCCAAACTGATCTCCTTCCTTTCCTCCTTCCCTCTTCCCTGTTAGTCAGCATGTCCAAAAAAACAGCAAAAGAAGGTACCTACGGGATTCAGGAGAATGGTGAGGAACAGTTCACCTCCTCGGATACTTTTGTCCAGCTCCTGAGGACCCCCAGGATATTCCTTGTAAAAAATAGTGTGAGTGAAAAGGCCACAGGTCTGTCGAGGGAGAACCTGGAACAGAAGAACAGCAGCTTACAGGTGTTGCAGAGATGTAATGGACCTGGGAAGGACTTTTGTTTCCCTTAATTAGGTATTTTATTTTGTTTTATTTTTTCTTTACTCAGTAAAAAAAAAAAAAAAAAACCAAAAAAAAAACCCAGCCAAAACCTACGTTTAGTGGAGCATTTAGACACGTGTGTTAAAACACTGCTGATTTTGAGTCTGCACCAGTACTGATTGGACTCTGTGCAGGAATTTGATTTTGAGACATTCCCTCTGCCTTGTTTAGGRGATCACAATTCTCACTTGGAATGCATAAGCAGTATTTGATCAGCTTTTGGGATTTCAAGCCTTCTTTTGGAATATCTGTCACTTCCCTTAAGCACACCCAAACCCATGTTTCACCTCTCTAGGGGGTTGCAGCTGGCTGGTAGGAGGTCAGAGAACTTTCTAAGTTTTCCTGCCTTTGGTGCACTTTGAAGTGCAGGKGAGGAGCCTTTTCTGCACGGGCTGYAAGAGGCAGGCAGCTGTCCCAGWCCMRCCTCTGGGAATTTCAGGAGCAGAGCTGAACTCTCAGCCTTGGAGAAGTGCTGGAGGAGATCACTTAGCACCTGTTCACCCTCCTGGGTGATGCATTTCTGAGCCTTTCATGCATAAAGATGAAGCAGAGCTGGGAGCACAGGTCTCAGGCAGTTTAATGATTTCACAGAGTGTAACCAGGACTCGGCTGACAGCTGATGGCACCAGGAGCACGTTTAGTTTCTGAGGAACAATTTTGCAGTTCTYGAGTTTGTCTGACTTGTTTTTTCCCCTCTTTGAACTCACTAACAATGCACTATTCTGGCATCCTTACACCTCCTGGATCCCAGGGAACTGTAATGCTGCTGGGAACCTCGAGGCACTCAGCACACCCTTTTTTGGGGTCCCCGGCAGTAGAACGCTATGAACATGGAAATGCAGTGTACCATGATGCCATTGTGGATGAAGCCCCGTCTGTACCGTGCAGGTTTCAGGTGTGGGTACTCTTCYGTGCTGGTCACTCGGATGTGCCACACCTTCTTCCAGGCCTCGTAGAGCTGCACGTGCACCGGGTACACCCCGGAGTGGTGCGGAGCCACCGCGTAGCCCATGCCCGTCGGGATGCCGTGCTCCTGCAGCGCACCACAGGCATGGAGAGAGTTAGGAACACAAAAAAACCCCACACATTGCATTCTTCACAGCTTTTTTCCCTGTCTAGTTCTTTCTGAAGGTAATCCAGCAAACCAATGCTGCTTATTTACTAAGCTAGTGAACAGACGAGAAAAAAAAAAAGTTGCACTCACATACATGGGATTTAATTTCCTAGTTCTGGAAAAGAGTAAGATTCCTTCCTGTTTTAATAGATAAATAAATATTCCTCATACTTTCTGAACCTCCTTATTTTTTCATGGTATTAAGGCAGTAGCAAAAAATAGCTTGGACTACTTTTTCATTTCATAAATATTTATATTTAGCTCCATTTCTATATGGAAATAGGTGCATTTTCATGAATATAATCCATAGGTTATCTTGACAATCTCTTCTGAAGGCACAAATTCATGTTGCTCCCAGTATTATAGGACACATCAACTCTTTCTATTGCTTTAAAGTCTAGTGCTGAGCAAAATGACTAAAATATGAGATGATTATTTTATGGACCTTTTGCCCTTCCTCTTGCCCACATTATCCATTGATTACTTTAATTCCAGGAACAGCAGGTTCTGCTGGGCTTCTTCAAGTACTTAACAAAGAAAGGGTTTTGATTCATTGGCAAAAATTAAGTTAAATCTGTAGGGAACACTTGTTCCTACATCACATAATGCAACCACTTAAAATTATCCATTCCATATTAGTAAAGATCTCAGGTTACTGACTGATCTTGTCAAAGAGAAACCTAAACTCTCTATTTCGTAATTTACTGAGAACAAAATGTAATTTCAGCTTATTAATGTTGTTACCTACTTGAGAGGCCTGAGTCAGTTGAAGGGTGGAATGAGGGATAGCTCTGTCATGAGAGATGGTAAATCACCCTGTACTCTWTTTTYTTTTTTTYGCCATGAACATGTRRAAAGGATAAAGCYATCTCTAAAGATTTCTTGAAATCTGGCCATTTCTTGCCGTGCYTGAGAGGTCTGTGATGCTCAAGCTGTTAACTTGAATATCCTRTATTAGCCTGAGTGTCCAAACCTGCACTAAATCTGGGGTAGGGAGTCCACAGGAATTCAGATGTAAGCACAAATGTGTGCTGAGATTGGTAATGAACMCTGCTCTGGGTGACATATCCCAAAGTAGGGATGAGTATGTTTAAGATCCTGTTTATCTCCTTTCTGTTTGGTGCTGGAATTGCCATAGCAACACAATGCTGAAATGGTGATCTGCYATTCACAAACAAAATAAGGCAGCTTTGCAGGAGTTCTCAGCATAAAAGCAAATGAGYCTCTGAATAAAACCTGCTCACTGCAGAGTTCATCACACAAATACATCAGGCACTCAGATACCCCATATGACTTTAAAAAGAAACAACTAACAAGGAATTGTATTTTCTTTGGGCAGTTCTATTTGCAGTTTACTTGGGCARATTAAATGCTGTGTGTCCTCTTTGAGTGATTTGCTGTTGCTGTTTTCTTCTTTTCCTCTCATTTTGTTATTAAACTTATTTTGGGAATGAAAACAAATGTGTTGAAGGAGGAGTATACTTGTGTGTCCAAGATATGAGAAATACCTGCATTGAGCATATTTTCTTATATGTTCTAAGGAGCAATTTCAAAGTGTACATTTGGGTTTTCTTTCATTATAAAACTTGTGCTTGTTTGCTTGGTTTGGAAAATAGCTGCTATTGGCCATTGTCAGAGAAAAGAAGAAAGCAAACTTTTATTTTAATTTATGAGATTCTATGTCTAAGGTAGATTTTTTTCACAGAGTAAGTTAAAGTGCTGGTGTGAAGACTCTTATTAGATGAAAAAGCTAAACATAGCTTTAGCTAAGTTTGGCAAACCTGTTGCCTTTGTGTGATAATAGGTGATGCAGCAAATGAATATTTTTGAAGAAAAGAAGGTGAGGCAGAATAAATCTCATCCTGCCTGCACAGGATGATGTTATCCTATATTTACAGCCCAATTTTAGAGGCAACTTCCAGTGGGCATCTCTCCTTCCCTACATTAAATACAGATATTAATAATGGGACAAATGAGACCATTTTCATCACATGYAGGTACTTTGCCATGTGGTCACTGGGCCTCGTGTTGTTGGTATTTAATTGGTGTATTAAAAGCTCACAGTGTGTTTGTGGTTGGAGCAGCTCAAAGTTCCAGGCAGAGGAAGKGCTGATGTGCATCTGCAGGAGATGGGAGTGTCAGCAGACAGGATCTCAGTTGATTTGCTCAGTTTTACAACTGATCACAGCTKCCTTGTACAGTCAGTGACAGCTTCTGCYCTGTCTCTGCTGGGCTTTGGGCTGTGTACTCACAAATGAGCATGGGAGATAATCACTGAGCAAACAAAACAAGGGRTGAAATACAGAGCTGCAGGCTTTGGATTAGGCACATTCTACTKGTTTTGTCAGATAAGGGGGAGGAGGAATATCTTGTTACTGATGGCAGGGAAAACTTGGTTTGCTTTATTTTTGGAATATATGTTATCAGAGATTTCTGCTTGAGCAGTTCTTTGCATCTCTGTATATCCACTGCATTGCCCATAAACAGGGAGAATAATACTTGAGCAATTCGCAATTATCAGTTTGTAAAATTTCGTGTGAGGCTTTGTTCATTAGTGGCTTTAAAGGGTTTGGGGATCCTCTGCTAGAGAAAAAAAAAACAAACCACAAAGCATGATCAAGTCAAACCCAGCTGATAATCCAAATAATTGTAATTTCCCCTTTCCTTAGACAGGCTCTGGAACACAGCACCCCTATTTATGTGAATAGGGTGACACAGGGATAGCAAAGATTTATTTTAGAACAGTTAAAATCTCTCTCTAATGTTTCTCTGAGGATCTTGAATGCTTGATGAGAGATTTGGCAGTGAGGACTTTGGGAATGGGGCTGTGGATTGGGGGAGCTCTGGGGCCCCTCACTCAGGTACACACAGATAAGGATTTTGCCAGGCAAAACTTCCCCTGCTGCCTGCCAGATCCAGAGCAGTGGTGCAATGACATTTATGCAAGATGTGAGGAAGTTTTTTTCCTCTCACCGTGTAGGCACGAAATAGTGGAAATGGAAAATTGCTCAGTGACACACAGAATAATTTGGAGGGCTCTGGTTGAAGGCARTCTCCTGGTTGGCAAGCAACACACGTGGAAAGAAATCCTTTGAAGGCTGTTCATTTTTGCTAAGCCCCAGCTGCACAGAGGTGTCCATATCTGCACTCAAATCAAGGCAATTAGATACCTAATTAGCAATTAGTTCTGTGTGTACAGAGCTGTTCAGATACCTGATTTCTATCTGCATGTTGTGACAGAGCTGTTTGAGGCACGCTGCAGTTGCAAGCTCTGGTTTTACAGAACACTGTCAGAAGGCATTGATAAAGCCATGTAAAACAGAACCAAGGCTTTTATCCACCTGCCTGAAGAGCCAGTAGGTCTTTTGTGTGTTATTTGGGATCTTAAGCAACCTTGGCTATTGTTCTTGGACTTAATGATGTGCTCTGCCTCCCTTTTTAAACTCCCATGTTTTAAAAAAGTGAACAAAGAAGCAGCACATTAGGTGAGGAATTAATGTGAGCACACTTTGGAATAATTCTTGCAGCTTTCCTTGCAGAAGCTGACATGAAGTGTCACCCCTACCTGCCCCCAAAATGGGAGATGGGGAGATGTGGTCAATAAATCAGAGATGCAAGAGAAAAATGGCGCTACCATCAAGCTGTGTTCCCCTGAGTATAATATTAAATAACTTGGACAACAAACAAAACATGTATAACATAGAGCAAATTTTCTATGTATTGTTCCAGATCTCTAATTTAAATTTGGATCCACATTGTGAAATCAAAGAATATTGCAAAGAGGTTTGCTTTAACTTGGAGGGCTTGGAGAAGTGCAGCTGCAGAGCAGGGAGTTTGTTTCTCAAATAAGATGTGATGCTGAGGATGAGAAAGCCAGGGAGGAATGCAGCCCATCTGAAGTCATGGCTGGGACCTCTCTGATAGCTATCAGGAAGGCTGTCATAGCAGGAAGATAAATCTCTCCCACAAGAGAGAATTTCAGAGGAAGCCTTTTGAAAAGAAATGTTCTCATAAGTAAATTGTACAGCTCATATAGATTCAAGGTCGAGGGGTTGATACAACCCCTGTCCAAATGTTAGCAGGAAATAAAAAGTGTAATAACAGCAGCTTTTCACTGACATCAGCTCCTTATTTATAGGCACCCTAAGGAGTCTCTACCCTTCAGGACACTGGCTTTATCTTTCTGCAGCTGAAGTTACAAACAGATTCCATTACCAGCTCTGTTTTTGGGCTACRCTATAGATTTTACTCCCAAAGGTGGCTTGACCTGGACAACTTCATGTTTCCCAAAAATATAARGAGAATTTCCCCATAGCTTCAAAGATGAAGGGACTGTGTATTTTTGAGATATGGATTGTTTTAAAAATTACTGTTGCATTTAAAATCTCAGCTCTGTTTGGGTCTCTGGGCCAGGCTACACAAGAGGCATGAACAGGCAATGAGGCTGACAGGGAAGCAGAGCTGTAGGAAGGAAAAGAAATCCTCCTGCCAAGAAGGAGATGGAGAGTGGGGGGAGGTCTGGCATAACAAGTAAACAGTTAAGCCAGTTTTAATTAATTTTCTTTAAAGGTTGTTAGGAAAATATTTTCATAAGCATGGGAATAAATTGCTTCCAACTGCTCATTCAGGCATCTGCCTCTGCCTTTTTGCTGATGTGCCTTGGCTCGTGTGAGGGGTGGGAGGAAGGGGCCTGGCCTTTCAGAGCTGGGAAGGGCTGGGATTGCTGTTCCCAAAGCAGAGAAAATCCTGCTGTGTCACTCTGCTCCTGTGAGGGGCTTGCTGGCATTTCCCAAAGACCACCTGGTGCCTTTTCCAAAGGCAGCATTTATGGATTTCAAGTTCTCTTTGTCTGCTCGATAAGGCAGCAGAATTATCCTGAAAGGGCTGTAAATAGCACGAGAACTGTGAGCTCTGGGCAAGGCRGGGAGGATTGGAAGTTGAGAGCACAAATGAGGAAAAGGGAAGCACCATTATCTATCGATATKAGCAACAGGTTAGCTCATAAAGAGCATCTTGTCAAGCAGGTCATTTAAAAAGGCACAGTGAAATCCAGCAGCTTCACTTYTGGCTCTGCCAGCATCGAGATTTCTCCCAAACCATACACAAAGTTTAGGGTTCACTGCCACCTCCTCCCTGCCTTATTGATGCTGTTTGCAGCAGACTTTAGGGAGCTGACAACCTGTGTACAAACTGCTTCTTACAGCTTAGAAGGGCAGCTGCTATCTGCTGTGTTTGCACTGCTTCTGATCCCTGTGGAAATACAAGGGTGCTTGGACAAAGAGTTGCTTCCTTTCCAACAAGCCTGTGCCAGTGGGAAAGCTAAGACAAAATTCAGTTGGAGTTACTAAAACGCTTGGTTTGTGTTGATTTTCTAACCACACTGCCTCTGTTTGCACACCTAAGTAAATACATATATTGGCCATGGTAGTGAAGGCAAATCCTGGTAAATCTTTTGGGAACTTTTACTCACTAAGGCAAACTCCTTGTTGAGGATCATCTGCTCCACCAGTGAGGACTCATTGTGGAAGAGGTGTGGCTGCATGTGACTCCACATGTGGGGAAACCACCAGAACTCATCCACAGATCTCAGCAGCAGGTCATCACCCTCATCCTCCTCCTCAGTCCCTGCACAGGGAAGAAAGGGAGAGAAAAAATACTAGAAAAATGAAAAAGGGACATAATTGTTTTTTAAACCCTATTAAACCCTATTAAACCCTTTTAAACCCTATTAAACCCTATTAAACCCCTATCACAGGTGTCCTCAGCCTGGGTATCTCACTGTGTCACTGTTATGTGTATAAACTTTGGGAATATTAAATATAAAAGGTAGAACTCTTTTTATTTTCTAACATATGTGGTTTAAAAACCAACACCCCCCTCCCCCCCCCCATTTTCTCTATTTGCGTTTTTTTTAATGCCACACTATCTTTCCATCCCCAAAACCTGGCAGCTTGGATTTAACGTGACAAAACAGTGTCAGGAACATTAATGCTGGTTGCCAAGTCTTTTGAAAGCTGGACAAATGATGACATTCAATCAGTATTAAAGAAGAAAAGGTTTAGTAATATCAGTTATTTTATGTCACTGTTAAATACAAAATGCTCTCCATAAAGGCAAATGTGGATAAAAATGAAATCTTGTCAGTGCTACCCTCCATCCTCCTTATAACTATCACTTTATTAGCCTTGGTTAATTGAAATCTGATCATTTCTGGTAAGGTGTGAAACAAGTTTAAAAATATAATGAGGTGGGAAGCATAGTGCTGTAATGGCAAAAGGCTTCCAAATGTTTCTTAGGGTTCAGTATTCAATTTCTGCCAGATTTAATCTTGAAGTAAACTCAATACAACCTCCTGTGTTACTGAAGGATATTTCAGTGAGGGTGTGTGGCTGTAACAAAGAAATCTTTCCATTTGAGAAAGGACACAGTGCTGCTCCTTCCTTGTCCGCCCTGCTTTTCCAGCCTGGAAAGGCAAAGGGAACCTTCCAGTAGCTTCACCCTCAAACCATCCAGCAATATTTGTTTTTTATCACTTTCCCTCCTGTTCTTTGCCATTTGAACGCTTTTGGTTTGCTTCAGTGTAAGAAATAATTGTCAGAATCAGTCTCCTGATGCAAACACAGAGCTCCTGTCTTCTTACAGRCCTTTTAATGTTTAGCAGAACTCCTTGGAAGCAAATGCTCCATGGATGTCACTGTTTACTTGGCAGGAACATCTTGAGATGCCTGTTCAGTGCCTGCACTGCCGCTCTTTGCTTTTATTTTTCATTTCTGCAGTTTTTGAAGAATGTCACTCCACAAAGAGAGCAGTACTTTGAAACTTTCTCCCARAGTCACTGAATCCCTTTGCTCCCCTGTTTGCAGCACTCTGCAAGTTCTGAGGGAGCTGCTCCCGCTGATGGGAGCACTKCTGGAAAAAGAAAACAACTTTGTTTATTAGGGAATTCCTTCCTGAAATGAAAGGCCTGGTGGCTGCTCCCTCTGGGTCCCACGTTTTTGAAATGACTGCTGGCTTGGTTTTGGAGTGTGTGCTTCACCTGCAGTCAGGCATGGGCTAGGCAAGAAACTGAACACGGGCTTTCCAAATAGGACAAAGGAGGGAGAAAATGGAATTTGTGAGGCAATTGAAGATCTCTTTGATAAGCCAAAATGAGGGATAAAGAGGAAAAAAAGCGGGTATTTGAAATACATAAAGAAGYACAATCAGCTGACAGAAGATTTAGGTCAAAGTATAATTTAGTGCCTTATTTACTTTTGAAGTAGAGTGTGGTTTTTGAAATAAGYTCTCCCTTTTCCTATTAATTTCTTTGTCAATTTGGATGTACAACTAATCAAACTTTGCACTTTTTTTTACTGTAACAAAAAGCAACCAAGATGAAATATAATGCTTTCCATTTTAAAGAAGAATAACCCCACCCTGTAATGCCAGAGCTGAGGCAGAAAGGTTGGAAGTTTAACCTTAGGTGGTGGCATTGCTTTTGAGGTTAAATTTTCTTTGCAAGCCTTGGAAAAGGATGTTGTTTGATTTTATGAATTCTTAGGTAGTGTTATTAAAAAAAAAATCTCGTGTGAAGTTTTAATGGAGCATTTGGTGGGTGYTTATATTTTTAAAATATTTTTGCTCAGCCCCTTATTAGGAGTATTAGAGGCAAAAGAGGGATTTGRGCCTTTTAATTTCTTGTACCATCAACATTCTTCCTGTAACTTCCTTTATTTAAATGTGAAATCTGAAAAGTGCACAAAACCTATAATCAAAGTGAGCATGTATCTGCTTTGAGATGCAGAGTCCCCTTTACATGTGCAATAATTCAAATGTTGCTTGTGCACAATAATTAACCCTGTATTTTAAAACTATAGCAATAGCCTAGAGGTCTCTTTCGAGTTCAAAACTGAAGTTAATATGGAAGCTGTTACCAATAATCTTGCAAATCTTAGATGCAAATCCTGAGAATGTCTGAATTTCARTCACTGCAGCATGAACAAGTGGGAAGTGTTTGTTGAAGCTGCAGAACTCACAGGGTCTGYTCATTTTTTTGTTAATGGTGTTAATGCAGGGCAGAGTTTACCAGCTGMTGTGTCCTGAGGTACTGCAGGATATGATGTGTCAGCAGCATCTTCCCATGAAAATGTGAGACTGTTCAACCTGCCAGCACATCCCCACACTGCTCTGCCTCCTGCAGTTTTGAAATGACCCAAGTTTTGGACAGGAGAGCACAATCCCACCTTAAGGAAGTCAGTAAGGCATGGCAGCTGCAGTGCACTAATAAAACACATTGAGTATCMGATGGTAAAAGCCTCTGTGGGTCAGGAAGCCGCATTTACGGTAATTAAAGAACACCTTTCCATGCTTTATTTACAATGAGCCAATCAAGTGGATATTGTGTGGAGAATGTGCTGAAATCTCTCTGCTGAGCTGAGCTGACAAAGGGCCATCCCCCCCTGTAAATGAAGTGCTTTATTAGAAACCCAGGCCCCTTAATGGAACCAAGGACATGCTTCAGCTCAGGAATAGCTCTGTGCTGTTCTGGGGAGCCTTGAGAGCCTTTTGCTGTCTCTACAGCAATAGCAACTCTGAAATTGGTCAGCACTGTATCAAAAACCTGTGATGATGTGGAGGGTGTTGGAAGGAAGGAAGGAACAGTAGTGGCAGGTTAAGGAGTGAGTTTTGCAGAAAGGCTGCATGTTTTCTGCCAGTCACTGCCCACTATGTTGTAACATTTGTAATCAAACCAGCTCCTTCTCCATCTCCTCTCCTCCATGGATCACCYTGCTCCACTCTGGACACTGATGATGGGGTGGACACAGCCCAGCAGTTTCCTGCTTTTGGGCAGCCCAGAGGCCCAGACTGCTTTGTTTTGCTGCATTACACGTATGCCCAATGAATCCCCAGAAGGAAGAGCTCCASAGGCAGGCCAAGATGAACAGAGAAYACCAAAGCTCTGCCTCCACAWTTGCTCTCAGCYCCCAGCTCTGCCCCTGCCTTGGCTCCAGGCAGATCATTCCATCTCTCTGTGCCTCTCATTGTTCCCAGGCTCTCCAGCCTGTGCCTTCAGTCCAGGAGGTTTCCCAGGCAGCAGTTGCTCAGCATTTTSTGCTTGCACAAAGGGAAAGCTGCCTGGACTCAATGGCAGGGATTCAAATGAACCATTTGGTTCCCTTTTCTCTGCTCATCCTCATCTCCCTTCTGCCAGGGTGACCTGCCTTACTCCACAGCTGCCTCATGATCCAGGGTTTTTAACTCATCCTCATGGGCACTAGAGGGGAGCCTGAGTGGAGGTGCAGCAAAGGGGAAGGCAAACGAGGAGGAAAACAAGCAAAATTTCTAAAAAGGGAGTATTGTGCTGTGGAGAAATGGAGCAAAAATGGAGAGGAGTCATGAGGAGGACAGGCAGATGTGGAAGTGCCTCATCTTCCACAGGAACACAATGCAGCTTGTTACTGCACTCAGTTGGAAAGGGCAGGCTTTCAGTACAAATTTCTTTTCATCATGTTTTGCTTTTATCATCCCTCCTGATTTGCAGATCGCTGAGACAGATTACCTTCACAGGCTTAACAAAATCTTGAGCATCCCATGGAAATGTTTCTGCCTCCTCAGAGGTTCTGAGACAAGATTTTCCCAATCTTTTGTACTTCATCATACCCTATCATACCAAAAAAACCTTTGTCTGTCTTCTGAGCTGTCCTATTTCCTGTGGAATTAGAGAGATCTCGGCAGCTACTTTGCCTCCTTTATAAACCTAAGATTTACCACCACACATCTTTCAGGAAAACACCAAGGGCATCCTTGTGTACCTCATTTATAGTAGCCTTTACCMCTCTGGACTTTGAATTAGACACTAAAATGGTAAAATAAGCATTTCTCACTGCTCTGCTGAGTCCYTGGGTTATTCAGAAATGCAGTATTWAAAGMTAGGTTTAACATTCTGTCACCTATTTAACTGCAGCTACCTGAAAGCATGAAATTCCTTCTTACCTGTGTGGTAAAATTTTCCTGAAAATCCAAGGTTGAAGGTAAAATTTGCAACCTGAGTGCGCAGTAAATTTTGAGTCTCTAGTAAAGCCTGAAATAAAATAAGAAATGAACACGCATTTAGAAAAGTTCATATTATTTCTGGCTCATCTTTTTATGGGATTATTACAGAGAGTTTGGTTTRTTCCATCAGTTTGATGRTGTAGAAATGGTAGTGATAGTGCCCAAGAACCCAAGGAGGTGATGATTCTGTGGCTTAGCCCAGGGATTATCCTTTGTGCAGGATTTGGATCCAGCCACTCAGAGGCAGCAATGCAGTGATCACTGAGTTACCCATGCTCTGGGTTATTAGTGGAGCTTGAGAAAATGTGCTTAAAACCCAAAATAAAAYCAGGAATACTACATGCCCTCCAGGCATGAAGGCATTGGGATTYACTTACCTGCAGGAATGTTTTGAGCTGTGTCTGAACAGCAAATTCAGGCTCAAGTGTGAATGAGTAAGTCCTCAGTTTTAACCCATGGTAGAAGCAGTATCCATGTGATGAATTAGTTTTTAATTTCATTAATTTAATGTTGGTTTTTTTTATTCTCTCCTCCATGCCAGGCTAAGCCCACTATAAATGAATGGAGGGCAAAGGTGTTGTTTATAGAAGAAGTAGGTAGTCTTGGCCGCTTGTCCAGCTTTTTTCTTGGACATATTTCCTACTAGGGAAAGAGAGGAGATGGTTCAGCCTGTGTGAGCTGCCCACATTTACTGCTCATTGTCAGCTCTGCCCGTGTTCTAGAGCTGGTCCTTGTGCACAGCTCTGCTTTGGATCAGCAGCCTCAGGAGCCTGGSTGAGCTATGTGTTAGATGGGCACTGCATTTATCTCCCTATTGGCCTTGCCAATGCTGAATGGGTTGGAAACTCTGTTTTTATCAATTTCCCGTGTCTCCACTATGTGGCTCTTGAGAACTTCTCTTATTATCTATTAATAACATTTCTATTGATTGGACCTTCGTGTTCTTGCAGAGTTTAGAGATAAAATGATTGCAGTGGTTTGCACACACACTCCATCCAGCAAATGTCCTTCATTTGAAAAAAWTGCATTTTGTATGGTCATAATTTCATTTAATGTTGCAGAAAAATAAATTTTTGGTCTAATTTAAGCAACAACTACCACCCCTACTTGGGACTGTAAATCAAAAGTATCTCCAGTGCAGGGAAARTGGTGAAAGCAGGGTTTAAGCAGCTGAGATTGTGAGTGACACAAGRGACTTTCAGGCAGGGTGCTTGTGCCTTGTTTTTTGAAATAGAAACATGAATTGGTGACAAGGAAGATGTAAAACAGAGATAGTGTTTATCAGCTACAGCAGTCACCAAGCAAATTTCTGCCCTTGCTAAAGGAAATAAAGTCATCTTATTGCAGTAAATCTTGTGCTTTAACATTAAATATTAAGGTAGCTGTATGGTTTCCAGACTATCTTGCCAGCCATTTAGTAAGTTGATTATTTCAATCCTGTGACAATTTCCCATGTGGGACTATATTTACATAATATATAACAAGTAAATGGTCGCTAAAATGTAAAACCTTAGAAATGAAAGCCACCGTTAGCTSAGACATTGAGGAAAATCCCCAGCTGGTAAAAACTGGCACTAAATTGACACCATTAAAGTCAGAAGCATGGAATCTGAGTCATTATATTTTAGAACATAATTTTCCAAGCTATCTACAGCATTTTAGRTATGTTGAGAAAGACTGATGGGCTGAGCAAAATCAATTTAATTTTCCTTTGAGGGAAGAACATCTTGAGAAATTATCATCRCTTAACATAAAGCACAAGAAGGGCATGAAACAAACATCATTTTCTCACCTGGGCTCATCTCTCCCACTCCCCTCACATCTCAGGAAGATGACAGAACTGCASGATAGGCAGGAGCCTTCCAGCCCAGAGAGGTCTCATTAAAAACACAGAGCGAGGATTAAGATGTAAATCCTGGAACCTGCAGTGTGTCAAGCWTTTTCCTCTGTCTAAAGGGCAAGCCTGTCACTCAAACTGGATTTGCCTTGGTCCTAAAGACTTATTTTTTGCCATTTCAATTTCCATACATGCATATTAATTTATATAATATGCAGCTAAAATTTCCTTGTCATGACCCCCCTTTTTAACACTAAGATCTTGGCAGCAAAGCCAGTCCAAACTGATTTTGTCACCACTTGGCTGTTTGGGGGAAAGGCAGTAATGTCCAGGGCAGTAATGTCTGCCACAACATCATTATGAAAAACTCTTTCGGTGCTTAGGGTCTGCCTTCCCTATCTTTAATGAAAGGGTGGAGAGGCTGCACATCAGTACCAGAAACYTTCCTGGGATTTGCACAGGCTCGGGTTTGCTTTGAAGGTAATCTAAGCTGTTCTTTCAAATACAAACCCTTAATTRCCCGGAATGTCCCAAAAATCACGGTTTGAACTTTATTAATTGATTCTTTGCTTTGTCAGTGAGGTTCTCTGTGACACCCACAAGATATAGTTTCTTCATTATATTGCGTTCRGCAGCCTTTTAAATTAATCCATATAATTACCTTTTGTAGATTTGAGGTTGCCGTGTCTTTATTCTTCATAATTGGTGCATCTATTAGGAAGAAGTGATATTTTCCCACTATGTCCTTGTTAATTATAACTCTATCCTTCATTTACATAATAAACTTTTTGGGGYGATTTCTGCAGGAACATTTCATGCCTAATAGGAAGCAATTTGCTTTCCTTCATTAAGTACATTAAAACTTCATGCCCCAGACATCATTGACTGTAAACATTTGATTCTGCTCAAATTTAATGCACCGAGGCATTTTGCTGTGCCATATTAGGTTTATTTATGTGCTATGTTCTGGATTGTTAGCTGCTAATGAGACTTCAGCTCTTACTGCTCTAAGGCCTGAAGAGTAACCTCATTTTAATGAGTTCATTATTTGCTGCCTTCTGAGTGGAAGACAACAAATTTTCCTTTTAATTAAAGGTCAAAACACCTCTGGCTAAGGGAATGTAGAGGTTATCAAATCCTTAGAGAAGGCAAGTGAATGACTTTTCCTGATTTTGATGCCAAGCATGGGCTGGCCAGGCTGAGCTCAGAAATGTCTCTCTGGGGAGCAAAACTCCAAATCTCAGTTAAGTGATAACAACGCTAAAATGTGGGACTGGATTTCCAAAGACATTGTTAAAGGAAAAGAGAACCTGAAAGTCAGCCAAAGTAATTAAAGAGGYTTTCCTCCTCACCCAAAGGTCTGTGTGGATCGATAGAGCTGCTAAAGCACGAGCCCTGCCTTGCACGTGCRGTGGTGTTCAGGGTGAGGGGGATAGATGCCAGAAAAACTGAACCAGCAAAATGAAATCTCTTATTTTATATTGGAGAAGTAAGGTAAATATTGGATTGTATTGGGGCTGTTTGAAGGTGGTACAGGGTTGGTGTGTGTCTAAGTGCACAGACAGGGACTGGTGATCCCTGAAACTTCAGTGAAACCAAAAAAAGATTCATTATGGCAATTCATACACAGATCCTTGTCCTTTTTCTGGCATTTTATTAACCCAGATTGTTTCATRTGCCTTTCATTCTGCTCCCATGGCATTAGAGAGACAGGAAAGGTTCTTGGGAAAGAAAGGACCACTGTCTCTAGATCAGCTAGTGAAAACTTCAAATCTGGTTTTGGAGGGAAATCCCACCAGTCTTTGAAACAGAAACATTGTGCAGCTGTCAAATTGTCCTTATAATACTTCTAAACATTATTTCTGCAAAACAGAACCAAATTTCTGAGTCTCAGAGGTGTCTTGAGGACATTCCTAGAAACTGTGAGCATCAGGGGAAACACAGGAAGGACATGAGATTTGCGTGAGTCAGCATTACCCCAGAGTGGAGCAGAAATCCTGGCACTTCTGAGGGTTCCTGCGCATACACGTGACCTTCCAGAGGCAACAGTGGCAATGTGAATTTTGGGAAGCAGTAAAACCTCCAGATTTTGGAGGTTCCTGTGTCTGTGGCAGGGATTGGTGTGGCTGTGGTGCCCAGAGCACCCAGCCTCGGGGCATTCCCTGAGGGAGAGCTGCYCAAGGAACATCCCAAGGCACTGCAGAGCCTGTCCATGAGGATGCACAGTGTGGGGGGAAGGTGAGAAAGGGTAGCATTCTTCACTCAGTCTGGAAGGAGGGGAAGTTAGCTATTCCTGTTTGCAGCCTATCTGTAATTTGCTGTCATCTTGAGTTATTCTACTTGCACAGACTCRTCTGAGGAAGTGCTTGTGGCATGGGAGGATGTGCCAGTGCCCGGCRTCCCAGGGGTACGTGGCCAAGGTTACATTGTCCCGTCACCTTCTGAGGAATATGACTGAGGATCTTGTCAAAAACGGGCTCACTTGCCATTACTCAAAGTCATTATTCATTTGGGAGCTGATCCTAGTGCTGGATAGTGATTCCACTGCTGCAGGTTCCTTCCCTTTTATGTGTGTGTGTGTGTGTGTGTGTGTGTATAAAATATGTACATGCTCACTATATGCACAATAGCATTTATTTATATATACTCTAGAAAATATGTGCAAATATTTGCCTGTGTATGACATTACGTCTGCTTTGAGCAGGGGCTTAGATTACATCACCTCCAGAAATCCCTTCCGACCAAAATTATTTTTTACTTCCAGACAGCTTTCTCAAGTTTCTATGGCACATACTCGTTATTAATACCAACAAGTCTTTTAATGTATTTATTCATTTTTGTCCCTGACATCTGTCCTTAATGCTTTTGCAGCCCTGAGGTTCATTCCCAAGCTGTTCAATGCAGCAATTTGCTGGTGGTCTGGGCAAAGTTGGATGACTACAAAGTAATAGTTTTGCTCTAAATTTCCAACTGAAACTTTTTGGGAAGGGTAAGAAAAAAAGCAGAAAGTACTTTCAGCAACATTTCTTTGCACTGCAAGCAGCTGCTGTCAGGATGTGACTTTTTGATTGCCTCTTCCCGCTCTTGCTCCCTCCCTGAAATCTGTGCCAGGATATAAAAACCTGACTAAGCCTGCTGTGGTCCTAGCAATTTTCAAAGCCAGTGGAATTGGAATTGATAGGAATACCACC